TGTTATCTTAAGCAAAACCAACCTAGCACAGAGCTATAATCTAGAATCTAAATCCATGTACAGCAGCTTGAATACTAGGAGATGCTCTAAAATTATATACTTTTGCAATCTCTCTTGCTATACTCTCCCAGCTTCTACTTTACTTCTCAACAACTCTTAAGTTCCTTTCTATCCATAATCCATGTACAAATTCAGCATACACTAGTTTAACAATTTATGCAGCTTGTGTCTTGCCTTTAGCTCTGGCAATGATATTATGAATGTGTTGGTCCCATTCAGTAGCAGCATGGTCTTGTCTCTGAATCAACACCATCAGCCTGTTCCAGAGTTGTGCAAATTCACATTGTATGGAGAGATGATCAAATATTTCATCATTGATTCTGGCACAGTACAGATTTAGTATCCACCATTAAGCCCCATCCTGTAAGTCTATCTGTGGTTAAGAGCTTCTGTTGCACCTAGAGCAACACTGCAAATCTAGCATTAGGCTTGGTATCATTTCTCAACATGAGTCATTTCCATGTCACTCTGGATTGGTCACCTAATAACTTCTTATAGAATATGCCAATAATGCCTTTCCCAGCCTTGAGTGATCCCTGCACCTGGTCCATACGGACTCTAGCTTCAAATATTTTCCTTATCATCCCGCAAGCTTGCTATGGCACAACAACATTTGCAAATATTCATGGTGATTTTGCCACTTCTCCATGTCAAATATTCAGTCACGTGGAGCATTGTTTGTTTTGCTAGAAATAAAAAGGTTAAGGTGCAAACTGTGAAAAATTAAAGGATACTTATGATAGGGGTGTGAAGCACACAAGGGTTTTTATATTGGGGGTGCAAATGTAGAACTGGTATATGGCATTCTCTTTCATGCTATTACAACATATAAACGGAAAATAATATAAACATTGAAAAATATAAAAAAAACTAAAGAATTAATCACTGGGAAATTGATTGTTTTTGTGTGTTTGATCATTTTTATAGGAAGTCCATTAAGGGATTGTTTGGTTGCTTGTTAGAGTAATGCATGTATTATTAGTATAAACACCGAGTGCGGATAAATTTTTGCTGTAGCAATGTACCCATCTTTGTGAAATTCTAGATCCGCTACTGACCTATTTCCTTGTAGTACCACTACCCCTTTCCATTTTCATGTACATTTTTAGGTTAATAAGGTTGATCAATGGATGTAGCGTTATCCCTACTATGGTCTGCTGTAGTTGTAAAGTTGACCTCTTGGGCTACTGTAACGTGTTATTCGAGCTGATTTGTTGGCTTTCTCCTTGTTGCTATATCATAATGTAGCATAGTGGTTATCTTTGCTGAATTTATACTGTGTATTCTGGTCATGTTGTGGAAATTATGATGTTCCCCTTTCCTGTAAATCAGTGGACAGTTTTTTTAGTGCTTTTAGTGTATTGAGAATGTCCCCCCCACCCCCCCACCCCTCCCCACTCTTTTATGTATGTGACTTATCTGAATCACTATGTCTTCTCCAGGCTGCATCTTTAACTGGTATCAATGATCCAATTTTAGCGGGCCAGGAGTTGCTCAATAATGGAGTTTGTACTAAGTGGGTGATTGTTAAGATGGGTCCGAAGGGTTCAATTTTAATCACCAAGTCGAGCATAACGTGTGCACCTGCTTTCAAGGTATCAATTCTGTAGCTGGTTGGAATATTGGTTCTTGTAAAAAAAAGTACTCTATTCATCTTATTAACAGAAGTTTACTTGTTTTATCCCCATTAGTTATCTTACAACAACAACATACCCAGTGTAATTCCTGGGGTTTGGGGAAGGTGATGTGTACGCCAACCTTACCCCTACTAGGTAGAGAGGTTATTTCCGATAGACCTTTGGATCACCATTAGTTAGCTTATCCCAAATAAATTTATGTTCTAGTTGGGCTCTCTTTCTTCATAGGAGTCCCATTGGAGGGTGGGCAGATGATCAATGACTGCACAACATTTCGGGATATTTAAGAAAATTGAAGCAAAGTTAATATATGTCATGGTTTCTAAAAGAATTATCCAACTTCCATTCCCACCAAAAGTAGGAACCATACTATTCCCTAATATTTTTTCTTTTTAATAACTGAGAAATCTATGAGGCTAGTCACAGTTTGAAACTCTATTGATAATAGGCCCACTCCTTTGTCCTTCTCCACTTATGTGTCAGGTTTTTGTTTGAGGCAGGGTTGGAACCTGTGACACGGGTCTAACCTACACATCATGTGTTGTGCTCTTTCCACTAGATCAAAGCCTTGGGGTTGTGGTTCCATAATTTTCCTCTCTTTCTTCTCAGGCTAAGTAAAAAACCATACAGTTACAGTTTCAATGAAGTGCGTCTTTCATAAAATTTGATTTTAAATGTCCTCTGTGATACATGCCCTATGTCTGCCTATTCATTGTAACAGGTCAATATAATAGACACCGTGGGCTGTGGAGATAGTTTTGTGGCTGCTGTTGCATTTGGCTTCATACATGACTTGCCCTTGAGTTATACATTAACCCTTGCAAATGCGGTGGGTGCTGCAACTGCTACGGGGTGTGGTGCTGGTAGAAATGTTGCCAGTTTGGGGAAGGTCCGGGAACTATTGAAGGAATCAAATTTGAACGAGGATGAGAAGTTTTGGGATGAAGTACTGAGTGATAATGTGAACTCCCGAGATGTAACTGTACTGTCAAAAATGGTTGTAAATGGTAATAGTGAGGTGAACCGTGTCTCCCTACTAAAGGTGGTATCAGAAGTGCTGCCTAAGCTTGAATTTGCACCAAAGATGACTGGCTCCTTCAAATAGATGATGCAGTTTTTCTGGGACAAATAAATTTTGTAGATGTTACCATCATTCTGATTAATTGTTGCATATTCACCCCATGGAAAGAAATGCATGAGTTGGAGGTGGTCTAGCTTGTGGATTATGAAGTGCACAGTTGTATTAGGGCTGCTACCTTGCTGGTGGTTGCATTGACAGTTTTGTTGATAAAGTAAGTAGTGTCCAGATACTATTCATTGATCTGCTTGCATGCATGCGAGAGGGATTGGCAGATAGATTGAGCATTAGTGTTTGAGGGAGATTGCATGATCAAGTAGCTTGTGATTCCTGCTTTTTGACGTTTCTGATTTTTTCTACGTGCACACTTAAGAAGCTGTGCCTTGCTTCCTGTAATTTGATTCTTACATCTGTGACCGCCTGGAATATTAGGTTACTCTAACATACAGAAGAAAACATGGGACATCTGTTTTACAATGGATGTCATATAGCCATATTTTTCTAGTTTAGGATGAGTAGAAGACACACGTCCATATTACCATTTATGATACGAATACTTGGGCACTCATTTTGTGTATCCCTTCCCATTATATGCCAGTTGAGATTGGAATTTAACTTGCATCATTTGTGCAAAGATGAGCTAGTTCGCCATTGACCAAGTAGAGGGAAGTGCACATATAGCCGATTTTGTTACCCCTGTTTAACTGACGGCATAAGCTCATAAAATTTTGCAAGTCTAGTTATTTCAGACTCAAACTTTAAATATACACGCCTGAAGTTTGACATATTGTTTGTGCAAGCAAACTTTAGACGTGTATACTTGTCTTGGCTTTTAAGTAAATATGTTGGATCTCATGCATATTCTATAAACCATTTTTTTGTTATTCTACCATAAAGTCTCATGGTGGGAGCCATAGCTTGGAGGAAAGTTGTGTAAAACTGGATCTAGTTTGGCATGAATCTTAAGTATTACAAAGTTGTGTTATTGAACCTCAGACATAAGACTAAACTTTAGGCATTTATATATGAATTTTCAAGCATTTACTTTTGAAGTTCAATCAGAGATATGCCTGAATGACTGAACTAATGCAAACAACCAAGTTGCAGTAAGAATGGTAACGACTGATCATAGGATATGTGACCAACTAAACACAGCATATCAATTTGACTGGAAAAAGTTAGAGAAAAGAAGGATAAAAGACTAGACGGTTATTACAAAGACGAATCCAATTTTGGCCAATCCACAATTCCTGTGTTCTCAGTGACGCTTTTCTGATTATTGACTATAATTTGAATTTTTTTTGAATAAAGCTTAAATAGCAAAATAAAAACTTGCTACTAGACACAATTCCTAGGACCAGAGGATCGAAACGTGGCACCGCAAGACTAGCGAGACAATGATAGACTGTTAAAGAAGGTAGAGGTCACGTAAGGTACCCTATTATTCATGTGTCAATCAAGTCTGGCTTTGGTTAGTCATATTGCAATTTATTTATGTGTCAATCAAGTCTGATTATGGGGTAGATTGGCAGGGTTTGTTATATCAGCGCTAATTTTCCCCTCCCTTCATCTCCTCGTCCACCAATAACATGATTACATGAATAGTAACTGGATATGTCCATTGCAGAGTCTTAAAGATGCAGCGTTCCACTAATTTAAATCCATGGATCTGCTCCAGACAACTATCCTAAGCAACTGTTTGTAGACAACAGCCATGATATCCTATTTCAAATTGATGCTTGGGTTAAGAGATTTCGAAATGTCAAAACTTGTACGAAAACATCGACAGAGTCTAGGCAGTAAAGTTTGCAGGCTCTCCTACACATATGGAAACATCCCTCTCCCTAACAGATATGTAGAACTGTTGCTCATCTTGGTCATTGACGTGCTTAGGCTCTATTGATTGTGAAGTCAGTCAAGGAACCATTGTCAAAACTACCTCCTTCACAGAAAAGAGAAGAGTGTAATAAAAGAGTCATTATATACATGAAACAATGCCATACAAGCAGACATGGAGAGGAAAGAAGATGGATTTTGGCTATTATTATGGACCATATATATGCTGTTAACCCATTTCAATACTTTGGCAACCCCTTATGTGAAAGCACGAGCATAGAGCTATCACAACAGCAAAACTCACACGATGTAAATTTAGAAAAGCACCCAAAGATGCCGAAGCCATCCATAGCTAATTAATGATTTCAAACTAAAAAGCATATTGTCCATGAAAAGGAAAGCAATTCTTTTTCATCTCTTAGCATGAACACATCTAATATGAGTTCGCTGTATAACTGAGGTGAAACATCATACTTACTCGGTGCGATATATGAATAATTTCAAAACGGAATGTAAAAAACTACAGGTAAACCAACCAGCACTTCCACCTAAATACCTAATGCATCCACCACTACTACTATTCATGATACAGCTAACTGAAAACAAAACTTTCTAAACAGCTGATGACTTGAGATCTCATGATTGTAACCATGACTTGTCTTGAGCAGGATATCCATCAATAACCATAGCTGGATCCATACATGGAACCATAATCAGCACCAGATGGATGGCCAGGGTCACCTGATGGTGAAGTGTATACAGGACCTTGAGAATGAGGATAATAACCTTGGGAAGGTGGTCCAGTTGCCGTGTTCTGCATTGAGCTGGCAGCATCAGCAACAGAATTCTGCACCATAAGGAGGGTGGTAAGAACACAATGCATTTCTAAGAAATCTCAGTTGTAAGACTGATGTGGCAAACTCTTCTTTGGAAGTTAAACATAAAGCTCACATTCACAAGTGACAATGGGGCTTCTGGAAATGGTAGCGAAGATAGTTTTGCTTGGAGATACAGAATCATAGATCAAGAGAAGCATTTTTTCCATTTGATGCTTGGGTTTTTAAAATGATTTTAATTTGTACATCAGTCATTTTACTCTTCTGTATTGAACATATGTGCATGTTAGTATGCTCCTATATACTGGAAGTGGACAAAAGTGTCAACAGGAAACATGTATAACTTTTTCCTACATTTGTTGGTAATTTTTCAATTTGGATTATTTTTTTTTATGTATTTTCACAATTTATGGTAATTTATGCTGATTTTATTAGTTTATAACTACTCATAGATTAATTGATGGGCTTATGCCCCATGCCTTGGGGATTGCACCCCGTCCCTCATGGTAGGTAAAGCATCTCGCCTTGTGATCACACCTTTTTAACTGATCCCCTCCTGCAACATGGTACCACCACCTCCCTCTCTACTTCTCTACTCCAGTATAACAAAAAACTTTGCAACACCCTCCCCCAGCACAGCTAGCCCTTCACTTCTCCAACCATGCCAAATAAACCTAATTGGCTGAGAATTTGAATCCCATATCTATGTCACACCCGGAAATAGCACCACCACTGTTGGATTTCCAAAAGGCAAATTGAAGTTCAATAATTAAATTATCAGAAGATATTACCTGAATTAATTGCTGAGCTGTTTGCACCTGTGATGCAGATCCAGTTATCTCAACAGTCATCTCACCAGGAACACCCCTTGTTTCTTGAATTGCAATAGACGCACCACTGGCCCGACGAATATAGCTAATATTTGAACCAGAGGTCCCGATAACAGCATCAGCATAGGACAGAGGAATTTGCATGTTTTGGGTGACCTTCAAAAGAAAATACATCAAGGAAAAGGAGCATCAGATAACAGAACATTGAAGTACTATATAAAAAAGAATTGAAGGTCTAAAAAAGAAGGCAAGACACTGCTGGCAACTTGACAGATCTATTCAGTAGTATCCATAAAAGGCCATCTAATACTTATCACGTGTAACATATATAACATGACTTATATGCCACCTCTTCATGCACCTTTGTTGGGTGATTCATTAATCAAGATCAGAGTCCAACTCCCCAAATTATCTCATGTTTGCAGAGAATGTGTAAATTAGGTCAGTAGTTGCATTCAACAGATTGAATGCAGAAAAAGAGCACACCTTTGTAACCATAGATTGTTGTGTTTGCACATTTGTACCATAAGTTCCCATTGAAGCATCTCTACTATAAGGAGAGGGGCCCTGACGAGGCTTTTTTTCCAACGGTGGCATGTCTACCGGTGGAAAATAATTATCAAATTGTCGTGCAGGCGGCATGTACCGAGTGTTGGGTCCAAAACCAGATCCACCCCCAGCACTCCCAGGAAAACTGGATGGAGGAGGGGCCCATGACTGAGTAGGTCCAGCTGGAGGCCTGTTCTGATTTGATCGAGCATTTGGCATTTGCATCTGAGCAGACAAGACAAGTCATAAGTTCAAAAATAAATAAATATTACGAAGGTAACATTCCAGCAAAACCAGAGTGTAGACTTACTTGCATCTCAAATAATCCAACTACACTATGATCAACTAAAAATTTCCTGAGATGTGAAGCAACCATTTCAACTGCTTTATGCACCCCGGCAGGCTCTCCTTGTATCTCAACAACATTATCATCAGGAAGAGCAAAAAGTGGAAGGTGCTCTGCAGAATTCAGTTGATGGAATCAAACATATGATAACATTTCCAGAAGGAAAAAAGGAGAAATTAGAATAACACACACGACACAACTGCGTACCACTTGACTTCACAACAAACAAGCTTTACAAAGTTCCGACATAGTCCTTTCTTAATTATTATATAATTCAAGAAGCAAACAAGACAAAGGAAACTAACCAAAAGGACCAGAAACTGTGTGTTATTCTTCCTCAGAGTAGTTACCTTACTTTGATTGTTCCTCCACAGCTTTATCTGCTTTCCTATCTTTTGACCAACAAATTCAGGTTTCTAAATTTTCAACATCTAGAATTATCACTATCTTAGTTTTTGTTTATTTCAATAACGACGAATGACACGCACAATATTCACTAGCATTACTGGTAAACTTTTTTTAATAAAAAAGGGTAATATATAAAAGCAAAATATTTGCCAATACAATTTAATGTTTATACACTTGAGCCAGCATTAGCTCCATGTCCTTTTAGGACCCATGTACCCACCTAAAGCCAGCTCGAGATCATAGTGGTTCACAAAAAGAGATGAGAAAAGGTGAGGAATCTTAAGTAAGTCCCTAAGATATTTAAAGAATTCCAAGAAGTCCTTTTAAGTTTTAAGGAGGTGAAAACTGTAGGGTTGAGAAGATTCTCAAGAAGTCCAAAAGCAAATTGGATCCTAGAAGCAAAGTTTATTGTTAACGATATAGTCTTCACAAAAATCCAATATGAACAAGCCTTTCAAGAAAGTCCAAAAGGGCTATCAATATGCCTACATCTTATTCACAAGAATCATACACCATATTAAGCACACATAAGTTCTTTTGTTTTTGTTATAGTAACCCCACTTCACAAACCCCACCAAAACCTCTCACACGGAGCCAAGCTGTGGCTTTTTACACTTAAATCCCTTAATGACTATAACCACCAAACTCCTGGTTAGAGGTGGAAGTCTTAGCTTTAGTTCCCTTAGTGATTATAACCACCAAACTCCTGGTCAGAGGTGGAAGTCTTAGCTTCCCTTGATGACTCAAACTAACCTTCTAGATGAGAATGAAGGGTCTTTTCACTAAGCTACCCCTCCCTTGTGTCATTTTAAGTTGACATATCTTTTCCTTGAAAAATAACTATAGAGAAGGATATATCCATAAATAACTTTTCAGCTAGCAAATTGTCCTGGCTTAGCTTAAATCATTTCACCACTTTGGGCGATTTACAACAAGCAAAATCAAAATGGATAAGAAATGTATTAATTCCACGTGTTCTACTAACATATGAAATTGACAATAAGAGAGCATATGTATATTTGGAAACTCATTCATTCAACCAATGTTGTTACAGGCTCACTTGAGATGAGTTCAAGCTCTGGGACTAGGTGGGAGCAGGTTTGCGCTTTGTCTTGCTTAAGCAACATTTCAGAGCAGGGACCAACGGAAAAAAACACACTAAATATGATTTGTAATTTCACTGGTTAATAAGATTATATAATCTTCTACTTGTGCAAACATGCAGGTAATTAAGAACGGAAAACTAAAAAGTATAAAAACCCAACTGCTAAATATGAAATTAGAAACTTACAGCTATATTGTTTCATCTTAACTGCTAAATTTGTATTAGAAACTTACTACTATATTGTTTCATCTCAACTAAAATTTGAAATAGTTTCCACACTTGACTAACATCATTTTTTTACTTTATATATTCCAATTTTTTTATGAAAGACTTCATATTTTCTAGTTCCTTACTTCCTTGGTCCACAATCAGTTTTTTTTTTATCAGGAAATTTAGTTATCTTCCTTATATTGCACGTTGTTTTTTACATTTGTGCCTTTCTCTAGTAAGTGCTTTACAATTGAAGTTCAGCAACAAACCATGGCACTTCCCCTTCACATTTCACTTTTGACAATGCTGGAGTGAGCAGTAAACCCTTATTAGATGCTCAAGAGTCTTCCTAATTTCTTCGCCATAATACAGATTAGAGACCTAGTTAGCCAATGTGCACTTGCCCAAATTATGAGAGCTCACGTTAAAACACATCCTTATCCTATATCAAGAATATCAACAGTGCCAAATTTCTCTTGAAATACCCTATAGCTTGACAGCATTACAAGGCTATTAGGGACTCAAATGACAAGGGGATCAGTAGCAAGAAGGATTAAATTCTCAAGGAAACAACACGAGACAAGGATATCTAAGTTAAAGAGAGAAGCACCTTGTCCAACCACTCGAATGGTGCACTGAGATGTATCTTGAATAGACTTAATAGTGCTACCCTGTTTCCCAATCAAGTTTCCAGCCTGTGAGGCTGCCACAAGCAGTCTTGTCGTGACTGACCTCCCAGCGCCTGGTGGAGCATTAGCTGAATCAGAGTCTACATCAACAATCTGCTTGTGAACCTTCAAAAGACCATCCATAGCTGGCGGAATTAATAGGCTTGGCTCTTCTTTCGCAGATATCATCACCTATGACAAAAAAGAACTATCAATCCATGGGCAGCAAGTTATAAGGAAAATATGCGCTTACTCAACTTTTGTCAAAGCCCAATGACTATTAACAGTATGTTCACTTATTCAGGGTTCAATCAATATCACAGTTGATTACACAGATAATGCAGCATCAGAAAGTATAGTGTTGTCTTCTGGTCTGATAAGCAGATTAGAAGAGCTAAGAACAGAAGCTTCCAGGAAAAACTGCCAAAATCAAGTGAGAATACAGAGCCCAATATGCCGGTTTTATAATTATTGCCAGCTCATTTTCCAACAAACTACCGAACAACCCATCCCTTCAAAAATGAAAATAAGAGATTCCTTGCAGTGAACTTTTTAAGAGGGACTTCTTTAATAAAGTAAGATCGTACTAGAAATACAATTTATAAGTAAATCAACAGGCATTTGATAGGCCTCATACAAAAATCAAGCATTTTGATAGGACATGGGCACTTTACAACAAGTGTATTTACATTTATAAACTATTGAGCCTGAATTCCTATGGATATGCCCACTTATTAAAATGCCTATTTAAACCTTTTAATACCATATGAATTGTTAAATATGGATCCAGTTGCTCATTTGTTTACTATTTAGCTAGGCATACCCACAGAAATATAAAAGCAAATTTTGGATCCTTTTGGATAGACTATAAAACCGTTGTTGCAATATTTCAGGCCATTTTTCGTAAATTAAAAAAGACAAATTCTTTTTCTAAGCTTTTTGCTCAACTATATCCCAGCATATAATCTTCTATTTAGTGATTTATAATAAGTCTTTTTAAATGTTTTTCATGGGGAAGTTACGTCCTGCAAGTTGTTAGTTACATTTGTTAACTTCCTCTTTTATACAGTGCAACACCTTCTGGCAAGACACCAACCGACCAAGTTTTGAAGTTACCAGACATAGTGCAATGCTTCTTGGAACTGATAGTGAATCAAGGCAATTCTCATGGATTGTCAGAACAACTTTACAACACTTGTAATGCTCAATGTTGATGACTGCAGTCCCGATCTTGGTTCTTCTAGCATAGACCACTTTCATTGAAATGTTTCCTTACATGGGCAAGAACCTGCACACACTCATGTTGGTTACTATGACAAAGAAACTCTCAATCATTTTGGTTGTGTTAAAGTCTTGTTTTTCACCCATTTAGAAGAAGTTAGTCATAGTTATTGTTCAATTAGTTGAATAATACTTAAAATTCTCTCATGAAGTTAAAGAAGTTGAGCATAATTACTGTTCAATTTGTATCTTACTTATTCTTACCAGTTCTCCCTCACTTTATTTTCTGTGATAGTTGATACTATCAACATTGCTAATTGATTTTTAGTTCTTTTCTTTACGTAGATTACATGTAAGATTAATCACTACTCCCTCCGGACCACTTTACTTGTTACATTTTTGGTTTACATACCCCTTAAGAAACTATATATTTTGACCATCATACCCTTTTTATTATCTTTAATCATTTAAAATGTTGATGTCTCCTCAATAATTATTCTCTCTTTAATCTCTTTTCAATAAATAAAAAGAGAGTTGATCTAAGAAATCACAATATTGGAGTGTGTTCTTCATTTAGGCTTTCTATGCTAATTAGTCAATGTTTACTACTTCCAAAAATGATTATTACTAAGGGTAAAATGGAAAGAATGTACTCAATTATATCTCGATTTTCTAAAATGACAACTTATTTGGACCATCTATTTTAAGTAAGGATGACGAGCACAGTAGTCTGGAGGGAGTACAACACTGTTGTTAACACCATTTCAATTGGCTTACAATAGCATCTAAACTCAAGGTAGAGCTGAGCCTAAAGGATTCCATGAACCTATATTCTTTCTTTTTGGGTATGTGGGGCAAGTGGGTAAGGAATCTCTACTTCGTACAACATAAATAATAAATGAGTCTAAGTAAAAATCATGAAACACCAATATCTAAAATCATTTCCCATGAGCAAGCATTTTTACTAAATGAAGAATTCACCATAAGCAAGCAGTACTAATAGTAGTATTAACATTTGTAGATCAACCTTAAACTATTGCATGAAAACCGCTGAATTGACTGGTAACTTGCAAGACTTGAAAAGATAAATAATCATAATCCTACATGCATGCAGGAGGGTGAAGCTCACACAAGGATGCCTATATTAACAAGTGCAAGCTATAAAGACAGTTCACAAACAGTCAGACAAATAGAGCATGTAGCTTTTTGCTACAGCAACATAGATTATCTCATGGAAATAATTTCACATCATTAGAATGCATATATTTATACAAAAGATATCCATAATTATGTAGATCCTAAATAGTGAAAATGACAATATCTATCAGCAACTTACAGCTCTTTCAGTGGTCCCAGGAGGACCATCAAGAACCTTGATGCGAGCTTTTGTCTCCTCACAGGTCTTCTTAATATACTCTCCTTTCCGACCAATAACACCACCAACCTTCTGAATAGGAATCAACATTCTGAAAACATTTTGTCCTGGCCAGCCCGGCCATTTTTTTTCTTCGCCAGTTCCTGCATCAGTTGGAGTAACTTTGACCTCTTCAGAATGATGTGTCTCCTCAGGTGCATTATTCATAGCAGGAATGGTTTCTGAGTCATGAATATTATTCATGTTATGCACATGATCAGCATCGTGCACGTGATCAGCATCGTGCACATGATCAGCATCGTGCACATTATCCTTGTCGTTCACATTATCATTGTCTTGAACACTATTCATATTATCCATGTTTTCTGTGTCATGCAAGTTACCCATCTCATGCTGCTCAAAATTTTCATCAGCCATTTCCTGGAAGATAAACAAAAAGACATTTAGAAAAATATCCAGCTACAGCAATTGGCTGAATGAACTATTGAACTCTGAAAGGCCTCCTGCATTTCACGTGTGCAGAAACTGGAACATAACAGTTTGCCTTCATGAAGTTGGTATGCAATGCTTGCCCAAAATATAAGAAAAAAGATAGAAAAATGTGCATCCGTACTAATATAATCTCCATAGAAATTTTCAAGAAACTAGAACATCAAAACTAAAACAGTGAAACAAGGTGGAAGCTCAGGAAAAACACAATATTAGACCCTGTGGACCCACTATAAAGCACTGAGAATAACCAAAAAGTTGAAACCCAAGCTGGAACCAACCCCGATAGAATCAAATACACAAAATCAATTTTATCATGCATGCATCACTGACCCCAAAAAATTCTCAATCATGAGCCTAGCATTCTCGAGAGCAAAAATCATACTGAAGTTCTAAGCCACGAAACCCAATACCTTCTAACAAACTACCACATTTCTTTGGTCGAAATCAGCCTCTAGTACCAAGTTTAGAAAGCCCCCAAGGCTTAGGTTCAACTGCAAAGGTAAATACAAATAAGATGCCACTTCACAAGTCGAAATTCTAATGGAGTAATGGTGACCTACTCTTGTATTTAGACGAGAAGATTAGACGGTGGGTGCATTATCTACTAGAAACCTATGTTGCTTGGACTCATCAAAAATGCCATCAAATGTGTCAAATTCTCCAAAAGTGGTGCATTTTAGGATGATCCAACACGGATGCGGCAACATTTTTGGAGAGTTCGTGCAACATAGTTGGAAACTGTAGATTTCTCGTTACAAAAGAAACCTACGTCTAAAACCTGTAAAATCTAAAACCCTAACACCTTGGGAATCCTACGTTGCCAAAAACTCAGACAAACCCAAAGCATCGCACGATCACCCTGGTGTTTTACCAACGCTCCCTGAAGTTTTAAAACCCTAATTCAAAAATCCCGCAATTCTGAAACCTTTTAGAACCATCTCTTTCCCCAAAACTAAAAAACACATCATCCTGAAACACAGAAACAATCCTAAACCCTCCCACAAACAGGAAAATTGACAACAATTAGATATAAACATAAGCGAACACACAGAAAAACATAGATTTAATATGCGAGATTCGTAAATTGAATATGGTTAGTATGAAATACTTACAGAGACAGAAAGTTTGCGCAATGGAAGAAGGAGATTTGAGTGCGAACTGTGAAGAAGAGCGGGAGAAGGAAGAATTGCCAAAGACTGACAGGAGTAGGGACACTAGGTTTTATATAATGAGGGAGCTGGTATTTTTGGATAATTTCTGTATACTACCCGTACTTCTATTATATTGTCATTTTGGACTTTCAAATTGAAAGAAAATGACAGAAATGATTGCTTAGTTTGGTGTAGTTTCAAAATAGTCCTTTCAATTGCTCGTGAGCAATTTTGACACTTCAAAGTCGTTTAGTGTAAGGTATAAGGTATAATAATTCCAAATATAAAACGCAAGGTTATTTTAGATACCTTAGTGATGGAATAAGTTATCTCATATACATGATGAAATAACTTATTCCACCAAATAAATGATCCCAAATTTTGATTCTGTTAAATAATTTAATATTAATAAAATCAGCCTATTAGATTGGATCGGAATTGTTAAAAGAAGATTTAACGAAAGATAAAGATGAGACTCTTCAAATTTTAAAAATTGCAATACTAAAAATTACACTATTCACTAAAAATAAATTTAAAAATATGGATAATTGCACCTTAAAATTAGATTAGACTCTAGAAAGTAGATCATATCTTAGCTATAGTTGAGGTTAGCCATTGTTTATTGCTTCTAATTCAGTTCTTTAGCTATAATTGAGGTAGCCACGACAACAATTTTGTCTCCAAGATTTAGGATGGACACTTTTGTAGTGTATCACAAAAATAAAAAAGTTTCAATTAGAAAAAATTATGGAATACATCATGTCTATTGAGATTAATTGATTAATTATCACTTAGTTAGAGTTAGTTAGTTAGTTAGCTTAGTGGTCTGTTCATATTGTTAATTATTTTCTATTAGTTAGTGATAGTGGAAAGGTTAGCTCATTGTCAGCTTTGAGTTAGTTACTAGCTAGATATTTTGTGTTTCTCTTGTATAAATATACACATTCATAATGAGAATCAGTGAAGTAATTTTCCCCAATTCGTCTTTTCTTCTCTGTCTTCATTCTGACGAATTACGACCGTGATGAGCAGTTTTTCTTCTTGAGGAGTTCTCTCAACATGGTATTAGAGTTTTGAGCTCAATTTGACTGGTACTATCTTCTCGATCTGTTTCTTCTCATTTTCAATTTCACTGCAATTTTGTTTTTAGATCTTCAATTTCACTTCAATTTTGTTTCCAGATCTTCAATTTAGGGTTGTGATACTGTATTTGTTAGGTTGATTTTCTGTTATTGATTGGGTTGTTGTGTATACACATCTAGATCTTCGTTTTTCTCTGTTAAAATCTATTTTCAGAAAATCAAAAAACAATCTACCATGGTGGTTGAAATTGGTGAACAATTGAATATTGCTAATGGTTCGAATGCTAATTGTAACGCCCCGTACGAAACTAGTAAGACCTAGCTAAGGCTTGACTGAATCTATTAGGTTGACCTAGAGCATCACATGTTAGTTTATGGCTGGAAACATGTTTAAATGATGAAAAATGGCTATTGAAGTTAGTTTGGTGACTTTAGAGGTCAAACGTCAAGAAACGACCATGACGTCCAGAAACTAGTCTTTGGTGCTAATGTCTTGTCGTGGTGTTTGGTATGTTGTTTGAGGTAAAAAACCCATAGGAGTGACTCTTATTCATAGATGGACATGTTTAGGGTCCAAACGACCGGGTACGACCCCCCAAGGACCACCCAAGGGGTCCTTGAGGAGGACCCAACCTTTGGCCAAAAGCTGTCAAAAAATAGCTTGACCTACGAAGGGCAGTGACGGGCCGTCACTTGACCTACGCCCCGTAGGTAGGTCTCGTGGGTTGAGACTTAGTATCCCCACCAAGAACTCCCCAATCCCCCTCTCTGAACCAAATGACGAGAGCACGGCACGGGCCGTAACTCCATTTACGGTCCATAGGTGGGTGGCCGTAGGTGCTGCCAATTTCTAGCCTTCTAGTCTTAAGTTGGTGATTAGGGATTAAGTTAGTTAATTGACTAAGGGCTTAAGGGGTTGTTTATCTAGTTGATTACTCGCCTTTATAAGCTATCAAGACCTTAAACTAAGTCATGAAATCATTTAGAACCAAGACCCTCAAAACAGTCCCCTAAAAAGAGTTTTTAGTTTTAAGTTAGGAGTGAGGGTCAACTTTAGATGGTCATATCTCATAGCTCAAAACGAATTAGGTGGGCCATTACCTATCCAATGAAAGGTCTATGAGTCCTCTTTCCAACTCCACCAAGTTTGCCCTATTCCGATCTTGGAGTAAAAAGTTATTCCCGAAATAGTGAAGCACTGTCAGAACTACGAAGGCCAAACCACTGTCCGTGACTCCACCTAGGGTCCGTAGGTGGAGGGCGTAGATGCTGCCAGTTTTATGAAGTTTTTAGTTAAGAAGGGGGTTAATGTTTTAATTAGTTATTAACTAGGGGTTAAGGGAGGTCAGTTAGGTGGTTAATTAATGGACTATATAAGCTTATAGGACCCTAAACTAATCAATTAATTCACCACAAGTCAAGACCCCAAAACATAACCCAATTCTTTTCCCTCCCAAAATTCTCTCTCTTAAAACTCTCTCAACTCAAGACTCCATTGAAGAACTTGGAAGGAGCTTAGCAAGGGCTTGTAGATGGGAGGTTTCACACGAAATTCATAGGGTTTAACTAAGGTATGGTTGCTCTTCACTCTTGGGATCCCTTTCCCCAAGAGGTCCTTCCAAAGATGGTTTTCAAAATCCCCCAAATTGTAGATTTCAATCCAAAAACGTGGGTCTTCTTTCTAAATGTTGAATTGTTGTTATAAACTGATTTTGATTGATGATATATGAACAATTATGGATGCATTCATGTAGTGTTGGTGATTTTTGAAGAATCCCCCCATGAGACCCATGTTTCCCCTTCTTCCTCCAATTCTAACCCTAGTTTATGTTAGATATTAATTGAAGGCTATGAATTGAATGTAATGTTATGTAATTCATGTTTGTATGATGATATTACCCTAAATTATGTATGATTACTATGGAATTAGGGTTAAGTCTTGAATGGGGCCTTCAAGGCTATGATGAGATGATATCAATGTGATTCTTTATATATTGTTGAATGTACTTGCTTAATACATGTATGATGAAGTTTGATGATGGTTCCCTCTTCCCTCTAACCCTAGTTGGTAATTGAGCATGTTATGATGAGATGCAATGCAAGTATGAATGTTGTGAGATGTTGGTATTATTGTTGTTATGTTGAATTGAAGGTAATTCTTGTTAACACATTATGAGCATGCTATGAGTAAAGGTGTTTTATGTGAAAGGCTTTCTCACACATGTACACACACATGAATGAATGAAGCTATTGACTAATGTAATGAATGTGAGTCTCTTGAAAGGTTTCCTCAATTGTACTCTAAACTAGTCTATGTTATGCATGGTATGATAATGTGAAAGGTCATTCTCACATGATGAAGGTTCTTGATGAAAGGTGAATTACTTAGATTGTAATGATGTTATACCTAATGTGTTGTTGTGGTGTTGATGACCTAGTTTCCTCATCCTTAACCCTCTACACTTGAATTAGCTATGAAGTATGTATGTATGTTATGGTATGATTGTTATATGATTGAAAGGTAGTTCTCATGATTATAATGTAATGTAAAGTGAAAGGTTTACTCACTTGCTAAGTGTTTCTAAGGTGAAAGGATTGTTACTCACTTATGAACACATATGAGCTATTATGGTAAGATGTCTACATAAGAGTCTAGTAAAGGCTAATGTGAACTTATGTGATGACTAAAGATGATTGCAAAAGGGAATTAGATGCTTAGCACCGAAAGGGCATGTAAATGAGATGGGGGTCTCACGTTTAGTAAGTCCGGCTCCCCACATGGGTTTCCACACGTTTAGCAAGTCCGGATTACCCACGATATGTGTTATCTCATAAGATGGAAACCCCCACGTTTAGTAAGTTAGGGTTTCTAGAAGCAATCTCTTTGTGTGCCCACAGAGGACTCTAGCTTAGTGGATCCACCTAGATAGCTATGTACGAATGGTTACACTTTAGGCAAGTGTTAACCCTTTCTTTTCGGTGTGGGAGTAGAACACCGGATTCCATGTAGCTCTCATGGTCTATGTCGATTATTGTAATATTTCCCTAATGTAAAAGTAAATGAAGGTATGAAAGGTGTGAACTCTTACTAGGGCTTTCTTAAGGGTTTCTACATAGTGAAAGGGAGGGTATGAGACTTCTCTTGCATATTGCACTTGTGGGATCCTAAGGGATGGTTGTAGTAGTGTTCTCTTATGATTATGATGATTATGACTTATGTATATTGAAGTTATGTTATGTATGATCATTATGATGATGGTTTACCTATGATATGGACTAATTGAATTGTGACTAAGATGTATGATATGCACATGTTGTATGAACTATGACTTGATGGTGTTGTTCTATCTTATTATGAAGATTATGAATAATGCATGCTTTAATTGTATTATGTTAATGATTGACTTTTCTTGATATGAACTAATGTTTGTGAATGTCACCTTACTATGTATATGACCTATGGATAAGACTAATGTATGATAAGTATAGCATGGTGATCCAAAGGTAATACTTAGTGTAAGTAGGACTATGGACCCTACCTATGCATTGCACAAGTAGAACCTAAGGTTACTTATGTGATTACTCTATTATGATGCAATGACCTTGATGTTGACTATGCATGAGTATTATGTCTTGTAATGAGTGATATGTGCACTATGACTATGATTAGAGACTATGCCTATGGTGATGTTTATTACCCTTGTGCTTTGATGAACTATATGTGAGTTGTTTATGACTTATGATTCTTCAACTCTTTCAAGAAGATGTTCAAAAGTGCATAATGCATGGTTTCAACTAAATGTCCCCTTTATGCATGTTTTAATGGTTTTTATGCATGGCTTCCATACTTAGTACATGTGTTGTACTAACCCATATTTCTTCTACATTTTTACAAAGTGTAGGGTTTGGTGATGTGATGTCTTATGCATGGAAGTTAGGTTTCTAAGGAGCTTGGGAATGAAGACTTGGGTATTCCTCATAGTTTCGAGG